AGGTTGAGTAAGGATAGTGTTGATGTGTTGTGAGGTTGTTAACCATTGTCATAGGGCAACATGTGTACTAACTGTTAAATGAGAAACTATTTTCTGTAAACCTTCATCTAAAGTGAGAATAGCAGCACAAATGGAAGAGCGTGGTCGATGTCACTGAACAGTGCAAGCAGAAATTTTTGAAATGGTGTACCTTTGGCTGTGTATATTTTCACCAGAAAAAAAAAAAAAGGTTGAGAAGGGGGAGGGTTGACATGTTGTGGGGTTGTTAACCAACGTTATAAAACAATATGTATACTACTGTTTCATGAGAAACTATTTGTTCTGTAAGCCTTCACCTGAAGTACAATTTAAACAAATAAAAAAAAAAAAACAATAGAAGTGATGAATGTGTTCTTTTGTGAATGATTCATTCATTCTAACAGTGTGTAAAGTAAAAATCCCCTCCTGTCCTCCTGTTGCCGCCCCTCTCCAGGGGGAGCTGCTGTTAACCGTTTGCTTTGCAGAAATGCCTAGAGAGCTTAACATTTTTGTTAGCTTAGTACGGGTTATAGCATCATCGCATGTGGCTAAGAAGAGGAGCCCAAACATTAACGAGAAGTGTTTATAAATTTTATGCAGAGTAAGAAAATGCTCTTCTACTTAAATATAACTACATCACATTAAGAAATTACTTGAGGCTCTGCCTCAGGATTATAAGAAAATGAGTTTTGGAACACACAAGGACGGTGGACCCCCCCAGGGACAACCTTCTTTGTCTTGTATTTCCAGCTTCTACCAATGTGTAGTGTATAGTAGGTGCTTAGTAAAAACTGATTGACAGGCGTTGGGAACAGTGGTAATTATGGGGAGTTATTGATTAATAGAGTTTCCATTTGAGGTGATAAAAAAGATCTGGAAATAGTAGTGATGGTTCAACAGTATTGTGAACATACTTAACTGCATTCAATTGTACACTCAAAAATGATTAAAATGATAAATTTGATGTATATTTTACCATAGTAAAAATGGTAAAAAAAAATTGATTGGAGAAATTAAGAAAAATCACCATATTTATATAGTTAGCTCATTTGTTCCTTTAGATGACACGTGCAAAAAAGCTGTAAGATGAATGTGTGTGTGTGTGTGTGTGAGGTATCTAACTTGTGAAGGTAAAGATAAAAGAACTTGCCATTCAGTATTTACTGTTATAACCATTCATTTATTCATATTAAAAAGCAAACTGTAGAAACTACTTTCTTAAATTTTATTTTATTAAAGTAGTATTTTTGTAATTTAAAAATATGGAAGGGTTCTGATAAAAAAACAGTAGCTCCTGTCTCATTCCTCCTCATCCTTGAGTCCCAGTCCTCAGAGAGAACAACTGTCAATCTTTAGCAGCTTATTCTGTATTTATCTTCATGTTTCTGTTCTACGATTTCTTTTTTTTTGGGTAATAATTTTATTTTACAGATAAGATCATGTAAAACATTTTTCTGGTTATAAAAAATTCTTATTTTCAAAAATATGGAAAATACAGAGCTATATAAAGAAAAATAACATTCAGCCATAGTTTTCATTACCCAGAAATAATAATTTTGTGTATTTCCCTCTTATCTTTTTTCTGTGCATCTTTTTGCAATATTGAGATCATTATGAACATACAGTTTTGTGCTTCAATTTTTTTTCTTTTGTCAGTATAACATAAGAAATTACAATTATATTTGGGTAGCTCGCTTGTCTACTTTTAATGGAACAGCTTTAAAACTGCTGCTTATTCCTTGAAGCCATGGTTTTTCACTGAATTAGCATCTGTATGACAAAGGTAAATTAAGAAATCATCTAATTATTCTGCTGTTTCTTGTTTTATCGACTGTAACTATTCCTGTCGTGGAAGAGAAGCATTTAGTACTTTATGGCCCATCCCAATTTTTCACTTCGACTCATCTTCCCAGTATAGTTATATCACAATTTAAGTTTAAATCAGTATTACTTGTTATTTTGAGTATATAAATATTTTTTCTGAATCAAGTAGTGATGATTACATTTATTTTGTAAAAATTTTACTGATGTTACTTATTAACTCTTTTTTCCCCCATTTGCTAAGTTTTCTGTGCATTTATCACTGACTTTCCCTGAGCTCCTAAGGCGCATGTGTTGGCCAGACTGCGAGAAGTTTCGCAGTTCCCATGTTGTTGTCTTCTCTCTTCTAGAGTTGTTTTTGGGAAATCTGATGGTCGTTCTGCTTGCTATTTCTGTATATGGGCCAGTTGATTCTTTCTGAGGACTTTCATAGTCTTTTTATATCGTGAGATTTTACATAGAGCATCTTGGAACTTAGTCTTTTTTTTTCTCTTGCTGGATACAGTTAGTTGGGTCTCAGTCTGGGAAGTCTTGCCTTTCATGTCTACAAAATATTCCTGTATTGTTTGTTTGATCATGTCTCTCCCTGCCGTTTTCTTCTTTCTCTTTCTGGAAATCCTGTTATTTGGATTTTGGAGCTTCTAAAGGAATCCTCTAGTTTTATTATCTTTTCTTTCTTATTTTCCTATGCTTTTTCTTGCTTTGATTTTCTTCCAACTCTTCTTTTTTTTCTAAATTTTGGCAAACTTAATTTTTAGTTTTTAAGAATTCTTTTCTGCATTTGATTTTTTTTTTCTTACTGCATTCCTGAAATAAGAATGCTTTATCTTCCTTTCAAATGAAAAAAAAGGTTAAGTTATATTATTAAGCAGTAAACTTGATTGATTGATTGATGATAAATAAGTAACTCTAAGGTGTAAATCAGTGAATTTGACCAAAAGCTATAACAAAACCAATAACAATAAATAGTAATCTTGACTATTTTTGAAATCAGCTCTTATCGTCTGTCACTTTTTTCTCACTGCATGTTGGTCTCATTCTCTCAGTCCAGCTTCCTCTGTATAGCAGGAAACTGGCAGATTGGGGTTCCCAGGTTTGCATCTCAGAACTTTGCTCCAGAAAGGGACTGTGACTTGATCTCTCTGGTTCTAAGTCCAAAAGTTCCAAGACATACACCAGTGTTTATTGCAGCACCATTCACAATAGCCAAAAAGTGGAAACAACTCAAAATGTCTATCAGCAAATGAATGGATAAACAAAATGTGGTATATACATGCAATGGAATATTATTCAACCACAAAGAAAAATGGAGTCTTGATAACATGCTATGACATGGGTAAACTTTCAAAACATTATGCTGAGTGAAATAAGTCAGATACAAAACGCCAAATATTGTATGATCCCACTTATATGAAATATCTAGAATAGACAGATACATAGAGACCAAAGTTTATTAGTGGTTACCAGAGGTGGGTAGGAGGGAGAAAGGGAGAGTTACTGCTTAAGGGGCATTGAGTTTCCTGTTAATTGTGACAGAAAAATTTGGAAACAGATAGTGGTCATGAGTGCACAAGGTGGTGAATGTGATCAGTGTCACTGAGTTGTACATGTGAAAATGGTTGGAGTGACAAATGTCTTGTTATATTACCAAAATAATAATTTTTAAAAAAAGTTCCAAGAAAGGCCTGAATGTCCGATGTTGGGTCAGGCGCTCATCTCTAAACCACTTGCATATTTATATGGGCCAGGAATTGTCCTAAGCACTTTATACATTTTATCTTATTGAAATCTCAAAGCAACAATATGAGATAGGCAATATTATTATCTGCATTTTATAGATGAGAAACTAAGTTGTGTCTTGCCCTGTATCACAAAACTAGCAGGTTGTGGAGTAAGGATTTACACTTGGGCATTTGACTTTGGTGCTCTAAACCGTTGTCCTAAGTGCTGTATCATTTGCTGAATCTAAAGATAACGGTCTTAACGTATCAGTGGCTCCAGGGCTCCCCGGGGGCTGCAGCCCACAGGTTGGGAATTACTAATTTAAAGACTTAGAATGGGCTGTATCACAGAAGTAAGTTGAGTGGGTAATTCTCAGTTTTTTTAAGTGTAAGATGGCAAGAAAGCATTACTCCCACCACTCTGCTCTGTGGAAGCTAGCAGCAGCTCACTGTGGCAATTGGATAACAGACAGTTCTCTGTTGTGCTCTCATACGTTCTTCAGGTCTGGCTTGGCTAGGGGAGGGATGGGAGCAGGTGTTCCTGGTTTAGGAGTATATGGTTGCAAATGGGACTGCTGTATATGGACACACGCTAAGGGCATGCTGCTCTCTAGACTTGTCCCCAGGGTTCCCTTGGGAAATCACGCTGCATTTTGCCCTTCCTAGTGCTTTATAGGTAATTGCTTTTAAGTACTCTGTAGATCGTAGGTCCTCTCACAGTGTCGGGGACATATTTCATATGAAGAGCAAAGCAAATGGCAAGTTTTTTGTTGTAATTTTTTTTTCTTTCTCCAAGATTATCCTGAAGGCAATAATTCAAGTGATTATCTTGTTCAAACAACAACGTATCTTCCAGAAAACTTCACATATTCACCATACCTCCCCTGCCCAGAAAAACTGCCTTACATGCGTAAGTGTGATCTAATTTTGACTTAACTGTTTCCTTGTGTTATAATAAAATAGCAATAAAAACTACACGATTTGAACACATTAGGGTCAGATTACTGTGAGAGTTAGTGTTCCTATTACGTAGCATGTTATTTGATTTTTTTTTTTGTAAAGCACTCTTTTTTTTAAATGGGGGAGGGAGATTGAAAAGCTGAAGAAAAATACAAAAGAGAAAATGAGAAATACCCATGTTTCTCCCATTCAGATTTAAAAACTAATACTTTGACTTACTTCCAAATTATTCTTTAAAAGAGTATTCAAGAGAATAATTAATGTGTAGTCTCCTTTTGAATATATTAGGACAATAACAGATAAAGCTAAAATCCTTTTGACCACCATCCTCGATGCGAATTCTTCATCCCTTTCCCAGAAGTTACTTCAGTTGTGAGTTTGGCATATATTCTTAAAGATTATTTTAAAATTATTTTTTTACACATATAGATGGCCGGATAGATAGAAAATATTTGAAAGATTCAAGAATTTATGTAAATGGTCTTATCTATTTCATTCTGTAATTTATTACTTAACATTTTTTAAGCCCCAGTGATGCGATGGTTAAGCACTTGGCTGCTAACCAAAAGATTGGCAGTTCTAACCTACCCAGCTGCTTTGCTGGAGAAAGAGCTGTTGATCTGCTTCCATAAAGATTACAGCCTAGAAAACCCTATGGGGCAATTCTACTCGGTCACTTAGGGTCGCTAAGAGTCGAAATCAACCTTGGAACAACATCCATGTTGATACATGTAGATCTAATTTATTTCCCTTAACTATCGTATACTACGCCTTTGCATAAATGTACCATATATCATATACCCATTTCCTTGCTGATGAACATTTAGGTTATTTCCACTTTTTTGCTGTCAGTGCTGTAAGAGCCACATAGTATATATCTCCTTGTGCATATCTGTACTTGAGGATTGCTGTCTAGAAGTGGAGTTGCTGGATACCGAGGCTCAGTTTTTCCAGGTTCTCTCATATTACTCCCCAGAGCACCTCTACCAATTTATATTCCAGACTGAAAAGCATGAGTGTATCATTTCATCCAGGGTTAACAACACTTGAGATTGACTGATTTTTAAATTTATGATAATTTAATAGGTTAAAAAATGGTATCTCATTGTGTTAATTTTTTACTTTATTTGTAATTAGTGGGTTTGAGTAACTTTGTGTTTGTGAGTACTTTTAAATGAGCTTTTCTGTGAATTATTTGGTCATGTGCTTTAGCAATTCCTTATTGGTGAATTAGATTTTTGTATTGATTAGTAGGAGTTCTTTATAGATATTCTGGTAGTACTGACTTGCTGCTGCCTGTTATGTGTGTGGTAAATATCTTCTTACAGTCCCCAGCTTCTCTTTTCATTATAACTTGTGTTAATCTTCGTTATGTTTATGGCATCTTTTATTTTTACAGAAGTTTGAAATTATGATGTTTTCAAGTATATTGATCACTTTAAAAGTTTTTGCTTTTTTTTTGTATTAAGAAAGCTTTCCTTACCCCGAGGGTATACAAATACTCTCCTTTATTTCCTTCTAATAATGTTAAAATTTTGTTTTAACTTTTGTGTATGATATGAGGTAGGGATCAAGATACGGTACTGTAAACACACATTTTTCAAAATTATGAAATTAATACATTATGATTATTAAAAAAACCCACTATAATCCCTACTCAGAAGCTGCCATGGCTGTCATTTTGGCTATTTTTCATATGTGCTTTTTTCCCCTTCACAGTTTTAAGCATACTTTGTACGTATAAGTTTGTAGATTGATTTTTATATAATTGAAATTTTGGAGAAACATCATTTTGAATTGCATGTTTATCCTTGTCTTCTAATGTCCTTATTCCTAAGTGTGTATGTTTTTTTTTATGTATTTAAATGAGTTTTCTTTATTGAGGAAATTAGCCTTTGCCCATCATAGAAATTAGGCCTTTGCCTATCAAACTCTATCATTTGTAGGACTTTTTGTTAGTTTATTGTTGCTATATTGGAACGCTCATGGCACAGTGATCAAGAGCTCGGCTGCTAACCAAGACGTTGGCAGTTTGAATCCACTAACCACTCCTTGGAAACCCTGTGGGGCAGTTATACTCTGATATTATGTATCTATAATCAAAAGAAAGATTGGCCTTTTACTATTGTCTAAGACTGTGGTTCTCAGGCTTTAGGGTACATCAAAATCATCTGGATGGTCTTGGTAAAACAGAATGCTGGGACCCACCCTAGAGTTTCTCATTCAGTAGAATTGGGCTGGGGCCTGAGAATTTTCATTGCTAACAAGCTCCCAGGTGATGCTGATGCTGCTGATCTATGGACACTCTGAAATCCACTCATCTTGAGTAGTGGATCTCATCACTGTCTACACGATAGAATAACCTGGGGAGCTTTTATAATTCTTGTGCCCACCTCCTAACCTTCTGATTTAATTGATCTGACATGGGACATGGGCACTGGTATTTAAAAAAAAAAAAAATTCTCAGATGATTCTAATCTTTCTGTTTCCTTTCTGTGCCACAATAGAAAATGCAGCTCAGTGATTTTTGTGGTTACATGTGTCATTACTTTGTTGTTGAAGTCTTGTTTTTCACAAAATGAATGATGTCTGTGCAATACTAAAACCACTGTGGACTGTTCTTGTTGAAATACTGATTGCACTAGTTGCACTAGTTTCCTTTTCATATTCAAGGGTTTATAGTTTCTGGAAACCTGACGTTCTTGGTTCAGTTGTCATGTTCTTAATTACTGCTTTATGAGTACTGGCATTAAACACTGTTTAAATGTATCTGTCTACCAGACCTTTATGCTAGCACTCCTCTCCTCTCCCATTGCCGTTGCTGTTGCTGTCCAGTTGATTCCAACTCATAGCGACCCTATAGGACAGAGTAGAACCGCCCCGTAGGGTTTCCAAGGAGCGCCTGGTGAATTCGAACTGCTGACCTTTTGATTAGCAGCCGTAGCCCTTAACCACTGTGCCACCAGGATTTCCCCTCTCCTCTAGTCCTGTAAAAATACCCATTGCCATCGAGTCAGTTTCGACTTATAGCAACCCCATAGGACAGAGTAGAACTGTAAATCTTCACAGAAGCCCACTGCCACATCTTTCCCCTGCGGAGCGGCTGGTGGATGCAAACAGCTGACTTTACGGTTAGCAGCTGAGTGCTTAACCACTGCACCACCAGGGCTCTTTTTCCAGACCCATAGCTCATATTGTAGATGACATCTGTCATGCTGCCTACTGCCTTTTCGCTGGGTGTCTGAGTGCTACTGCTCCTTCTCTCTGCTTCCCACAGTCTTGCATTCCGTTTCCCTACAAGAGAGGATCACACTGGTGTGGCTAGCTACCTTTTCATTACAGTCCACTTCATGGACTGCTGGCATTGGGTCTGGCACCAATCCCTTGTCCAGTTAGCTGTGGCCAGGGTGGCAGGGTTACTTGGTAGAAAATATAGCAACATAAAGAACTGCTTAGACAGGGGTCCCGGGTACAGCCAACATAATGCACTTACGCCAAGAAGGCCTTGCATGAGCCATCCAGAAAGGGCCCTTCACTAGTCATGTGACCTCTGCAAAGCAGAGCCTCAGTTTGCTGTCTGTATAGTGGGGGTTATAATAGCGACTTTGGAGTGTTGTGAGGATAAAATGAAGCACAGTGCTTGAAACTTGATAGGTATTAGTTTGATTCTCCCTTCCTTCCTCCCTAGACAGATAGAGCCAGACTTCAGTGATCATGAAATTGAGAAACGTAGGATAAGCCTGTGGAGTTAAGGAGTTTTGTATGTAGCCATGCATCTGTAATGTTTTAATTAACAGGATTATTTCCCATTGATGATACAGTATACCATAATAAAATACCAAAGTGAAAAATTTTATTAAAATATCACATGAAATAATTGACTATGATACCTTCCCATATAATTGTTAGAATAGCCCCCCAAATAACTGTATAAGATCTACTTAGATGAAAACCATTCAAGTATGAATGATTTAGTTTACTATAATCATCAAAAGTGAAGTTAGGGCTTAAAATTGGTGTGTTTGAGAGTCTAGCTGTAACTCCTTTTTCACTTTTTCCCCAGTGTAGCAATGGGACTGCTGGCATTGGGTTACAGTAAAGTTTGAATTCCTCAAATTGGAATTCAGATAAAATGCATTTCATGGATTTCAGCAATATTTTATATTCAGTGTGGTCAGTCACACTATAAAATCTATTTTATTGTATATTGTTTATATGAAGATATGAGTAATTGTCTTTGTTACTGTTAGTATTTATAGATTCTCAAAAGGGCAGATTCACTTTCACTTGTATTAAACTTATGTGAGACTATTTGTGCTAACAAAGTAAAATAGAAATTTCACTTTATCTAGAACTAAAAAAAATAAGTGCTTCACATGTTTTGATTTTGACTTTTTCTGAGTGAGGTAGAGATGGAATATGTCAGTTGTGCACTCTCCATTAAAATGAAGACAGACATACCTTTAGTTTTGGGATCTTTTAATTTTCATCCACATAAATATATTTTCAGTGACTTTTGTACACTTTGTTTTGTCACTGTTGTTTGTGGAATAGTTCCCTTTATAGTTTAACCCTCAAAGTTTCTATAGTTACTAACGGTATGAGTCCAACAAAAGGCACAAGGACTTTCTGAGATGAGTTTAAATAAATCAAACGAAAATCAGCACGTAGGGAAAAGATAAGCACTAAGTAAATGCCAGGAAAAAAGAGAAGTGAATAAATGTCAGGAAAGCGCAAATAATATTCAGTATAACAAACCATCAAGCACATGTTTATTGTAAAAAGGAGAGACAGAAGCCATTTAAGAGTAAACAAGCACTATTACCAGTGCTGTTGAGCACTCGCTGTGCAGCAGGCTGTGTTGTTTATGCAGTGGGGAGCAGAAGGAAGCAAAACTGAATATGATCCTCTCTGCACCAGCTAGGAGCAGGTAACAGAGAAAGGTAGTGT